GTTTGAAAGGCAAATCTTAACTGTGGGTTTGTTTGCTTTTGATTTCTGATACTAAGAAAACAAATTCCAAGGTGTTTTACAAATACCTACCTACAAAACCAACATATGCCATGCATTCTAGATAAATTGCATTGAGACTTTGAAAGCCAGATACACTTTATGCCAGAAAACCAAGAACTCTTCAAGTCGCTCATCAGCAGGGCTAGAAGTGAGCTCAAATTAAGGCAATTCTGCAGCTCTTCCTCTGGAATAGCATTCCACTTTCAGCCCAAGAACCCCGATCTGCAAAGCATGATGCTCTGATTGCTAAGTGTGTTCCTTGGTACCCTCAGCATCTCCCTGATAGCCTTGTGACAGATGGAATGAGATCTCAGAAAGGGAGGGAGAAAGTATGAGGCCTCTGATCTGGCCCCACTTGTTGGATCCCATCCCAGACTGAAAGTACTGCTTCCCTAAATTCCACTTTCCCAGACTACTGCAGAGGTAGTGTGGGGAACCAACCAAGTTCCCTGAGCTAACATGTTCCGCACTATCTACTTACCTTTTTTTTTTAAGAGGAAGAAAAGGAATGCATACAAAAAATGAATTGTGGGCTAGATTCATTGGGTGGCCATTGTCCTTGGCCCCTAAAACTTTCCTGGCTAGTCCCAGAAATTAAGGAATGCCTGCCCTCATGCAGCCCTTGAAGCCCACACTGCCTTCAGAAAAACAAAACAAAACAAAACACGCACCCCAACTCAACAAACTATCTGCATAGAGAACCAGAACCCAGAGGTCTGGGGAGGGGGTGTTCTATGCTAATGCTTGTGCCCTCCCTGCACAAGTACTAAAGTGATAGTTCTGCAGGCAGGGTGGGGGCCCTCACAAGTCCTCACTAAGGATACAAATCAATGGAGTCTCTTTCCCCATTGCTCTGAATTTTGGCATATCTGTAAGTGGCAAAGGCTTCATGAAACTTCACCATCAACACCATTCTTAGCTCAGATAAAGCAGAAATAAGGTCACTTCTATTGCTTTAAGGTTTGTCCCTGCTGGTTGTCCCCTCTGCCCATCACATATTTTGGTTTCTATTAACTTCAAATGTTTTTCTTTAAAGCAATGAGATTTTAAGAGAAAGAACAAAAAACATTTGTCACTATATTCTGAAAATAAGTACCTTAAAGGGGAAAGAACTAAGCTTTATTCTATCTTTTCCATATGAACTATGTTTCAGAAAACCAACAGCACTTTTTTATAAAATAATTTTAGCTAATATAAAAAAAGTACAAAATCACTACTTTGCAACTCAATGTTAAATCATTGATTTAGACAAAGATCATCAAAGGATGATACTGTTGCAAGAAGGATTGAGAGCGTATTTTAAGATGGAGGGCTCGGGCTGTCACAACCTGACCCACATTCTTAATTTGTTTATTTTTATTTTAATCATTCATCAAGACAATGACATGAGGATAAAAGGGAAAAGAAATTGCTTTAGATTAAGACATGAGACTTAACAATCCATTCCCCTTGTTTGGATCCTAATTAAAACAATTCTAGAAATAAATATTTTAGATAATCAAAAAAATCTGACTATGGGCCAAGGAATTATTATTTATTAGGTATGATAATAGCATCGAGATTCTGTAAGAAAATGCCCATATTTGTTAGAGATGGGTACTGAGGTATGTAGGGGTGAAGTGATATGAAATCTGCCTTAAAATAATAAATCAGTCCTGGCTGGTTGCTCAGTGGATTGACCACGGGCTATGAACCAAAGGGTCGTGGTTCGATTCTCAGTTGGCATATGCCTGGGTTGCAGGCCCAGTCCCCAGTGGGGGCCATGTGAGAGGCAACCACACACTGATGTTTCTCTCCCTCTCTTTCTCCTTCCCTTCCTGTCTCTCTAAAATAAATAAGTAAATAAATAAATAAGGAGAGAAAAGGGCCACAAAAAAACCCTGAATAGCCTCAGCAATGTTAAGAAAGAACAAAATTGGAGGTATCATGTTACGTGATGTTAAACTATACTACAAGTCTATAATAATCAAAATGACATAGTACTGGCATAAAAACAAATATTTAGATCAATGGAACAGACTAGAGGGTCCAGAAATAAACCCACAACTTTGTAGTCAATTAATACTTGACAAAGGAGGCAAGAACATGCAATATGGTAAAAAACAGTCTATTAAATAAGTGGCGCTGGGAAAATTATACAAATACATGCAAAACTGTGAAAACTAGACCACTTCCTTTTACTTTACACAAGAACAAACTCAAAATGGATTAAAGACAAGAATAAACTCAAAATGGCATTAGACTCAAAACCATAAAAATCCTAGAAAAAAAACATAGGCAGTAAAATCTTGGACATTTCTCATAGTAATATTTTTTTCTGATATATCTCTTCAAGCAAGAGAAACAAAAGGAAAAAAATGAACAAATGGGGTTACATCAAACTAAAAAGTTTTTGCACAGCAAAGGAAACCGTCAAAAAAACCAAAGAGGCAACATACTAAATGGGAGAACATTGGCCAATGATATATCTGATAAGGATTTAATATCCAAAGTTTATAAGGAACTCCCTTACTAACTCAACACCCAAAAAGCAAACAATCCAATTAAAAAGTGGACAGAGGATCTGAATAAACATTTCTCCAAAGAGGACATACAAATGGCCAATAGACATATGAAATGCAAATTAAAACTACAGTGAAATATTACCTCACACCTGTTAGAATGGCTATCATCAATAAATCCACAAATGCCACGTGTTGATAAGGATGTAGAAAAAAGGGAACCCTAGTGCACTGTTGATAGGAACCCAGATTGGTGTAGCAACTATGGAAAACCATATGGAGTTTCCTCAAAAGATTAAAAATGGACCTGCCTTATGATCCAATTATTCCATTTTGGGGGATTTATATGAAAAATCTGAAACCCTGATTCAAAAGAATATATGCACCCCTATGTTAATTGCAGCACTGTTTACAATAGCCAAGCAATAGAAGCGACTAAAGTGCCCAGTAATAGACAAATAGATAAAAAGCTTTGGTGTGTATATGTGTGTGTATACACACACACACACATACACACACACTATATATGTATATATACACACATATATATGGATATCTATGTGTGTATATACACACACTCACACAATGCAATATTACTTGGCCATAAAAAGCATGCACTCTTACTATTTGTGACAGCATGGATGGACCTAGAAGGTATTATGCCTAGTGAAATAAGTTAGTTAGAGGAAGATGAATACCATACCCTTTTACTTATATGTGGAAAATAAAGAATGAAATAAATGAATAAACAAAATTGTAAAGATTTACAGGAGCAGAGAGAGAACTAGTGGTTGCCAGAGGGAGGTTGGGGCACTGGGCGAAAGAGATGAGGGGACTATGAAGCACAAATTGGTAGCTACAAAATAGTCATGGGGAAGTAAGTAAAGCATAGGAAATATAGTCAATAATAATGTGATAGCTATGTATCCAGGTGCAGAACTGGAAATATTGAGGGGAACACTATGTAAAGCATATGGTTGTCTAATCACTAAGCTGTACACCTAAAACCAGGACATAATAAAGAGGGAGAGAGAGAAAGGGATAGATGATGCAAGTGTTATAAAGTCCTGATAATTCAATGTTATCTAGAGGATGAATATGTAGGGGTTAATCATACTATTCTCTCTACTTCTGAATACATTTGAAAATATTCACAAACATTTTTAACAACAAGTTGCAGAAAACATATTCCATTTTTATAAAAGCTAGTGTGGTAGGCTCCATGATCTACCTAGGTAGATCCCATCCGTCAGCCCCTTCAGAGACTGCCTCAACTGCAGAGAGCTTTCTTGCCCAAGGTCATGCTTGTCCCAAGGTGGATAGGTCCAATGACTGATTAGTGTGGTAGTTTAAAGCCTGGGCCATTTTGGCCCAACTTAGGACCACTCCAAAAGTGCATTGTTGCTCCAGAGTGCCCTGTGGGGTCAGCTAAGGCAGCTGTTGGATCTGCATCACAGCCTGACACATCTGTCTGCCTGATCCTGCTTCCATACCTTCTCTTTCCCAGATGTTGATCCCCTAATACACATTGTGTATGCTAAACTCCATCTCAGAGTCTACTTCCCAGGGAACCCTATTTGTGACATAATTAGAATTATGTCCCCCTAAAATTCATGTTGATGTCCTAACCTCCAGTACCGCAGAATGTGATCTTATTTAGAGACTAAGTCTCTAATGAGATAACCAAGTTAAGGGGAGGTCATTAGGATGGACCCTAATCCAATATGACTAGTGTCTTATAAAAAGGGGAAATTTGAACACAGAGACAGTCATGCTAAGAAGGAAGATGATACACAAATAGACACAGGGAGCCCTGGCTGGTGTAGCTCAGTGGATTGAGTGCGGGCCTGTGAACCAGACAATCGTGGTTCGATTCCGGTCAGGGCACATTCCTGGGTTGCAGGCTGGTTCCCTGCAGGCCAGTTTCCAGCAGGGGACGCACAAAAGGCAACCATACATTGATGTTTCCCTCCCTCTCTCCTTCCCTTCCCCACTAAAGGTAAATAAATAAAATCTTAAAAAAAAATAGACACAGGGAGATGATGGTTATCTACAAGTCAAGGAGCAAGCCCTGGAATAGCTCATTTCCTCACAGTCCTCAGAAGCAACTAACCCTGCCAACACTTTGATCTTGGACTTCTAACCTCCAGAACTGTGAAACAATAAATTTCTATTATTTAAGACACCCAGTTTGTGCTACTTTGTTGTAAGAGTCCTAGCAAACTAATACAGATAGCAAGCAGAACTAAACACTTTTGTCCAGGGATATAAATATATATCAAAGTTATCAAGAAAAGCAAGAGAATGAGAAGCACATTCTTCTGTGGGGGAGACAGGGAGTGCCATACAGGGAAACCACGGGAGCTTCGTGATCTGCTTGAGATGGTGGTGGGTTCATGAACTCTGGTTTTATTATTATGATTTAAAATGTATTTTATTTGCTATGATATAATTTGCATCTTACTCTGTTTTCAGCGACAGTTGCCTACTGTTAGTAAGCTGGTTCAGAAGAGTGATGAAAATTCTTCCTGACCCCAAAAAAAAAATTTTATATTACTTATATCTTATGTTTACATAAAATATTTTATAACTTTTAAAAAGGTCATATTGTCCTGACCAGTGTGGTTCAGTTGGTTGGGTACTGTCTTGTGAAGCAAAAGGTTGCCAGTTTGATTCCAATCAAGGCACATGCCTGGGTTGTGGGTTCAGTCCCTGGTTGGGGCAGGTTGGGGTGCATACAAGAGGCAACCAGTTGATGTTTCTCTCCATCTTTCTCCCTTCCTTTCCCTCTCTCTAAAAATAAATAAATAACATCTTTTTTTTTTAAGTCATGTAAAAATCTGTCTGAATTGTGAGAAAGTGTGCAAGTTTTTCTTGCAGAGTTTGGCATTACAAGACAAGGAAGTATGGTCAAACACAGAAGCCTATTCCCTTTATAGGGACTGAAGGAGATTTTCTTTGGTAATATTCACTTCTGGTTCTTCTGGGCCCCTTACTTGACTGGGGGAATATGATAGAGGGAGGAAAATCCCTGCTTTCATTTTTAATGCTGCAGGAAACATGTTGCTCCTATGACCTCAACATTAAATCAGCTGGAATGACTCACTTATATAGTACTGAGAATGAATTCAGCAGATTTCTTTAATTCCAATATTGACTTCAGTAGAAAATAATGTTCTTGACCTCATTCTACATCTTGCTGGAAAATAGGATTAATGTTTACCTCAGAACAGTAATATGAGGCTTAATGTTTCAGTGGAGATTTTCGTGAGAGGTGTTTAAGAAATCCAACCTGTTTGGGCTGCAACTGAGATTAAGTATTTTCTTGTTTAGCTAAACAGGAACTCTATTTTGTTCTTCCTTTAATACCAGCCAGGTGCCTGGTACTCCCGCGGAGGCCAATAGTCCTGGCCTTCTCACCCTTTGGGGATGTTTACTAGAGTTCTTGAAGCCATTGCCAGGTAGGTCACTGCCCCAGCTCCTTGTGTGGTGTTGCCCCGCTGGAGTGTATGCCTTCCTTGCTGCTCAGGTAACGAGCCCTTCTTCTACAGCTAACACCTTCCATACACAGGAGGATTGCTTAGGGCTGAGCAGCTTCAAAAAGGCAATTAGCATAAAGGGGGAAAGCAGTCCAGTCTCAGAACCTGACCACCAAAGGGACTGTAACTCAAATTACACATCTAAATGTTGGGAATAGGCAAACAATGAAAAGGGACAATTGCTTAGTGGACATTTAAAGCAGCAATCATGTCTCTCTTTTTTAACCCAAAGTAAAGGACACACTGAAGCTCTTCTCAGAAAACAGGTGGGATGGAGGAGATTTCTTTATGACTTACTGGAAGCACAAAGAGAAGCTTTTATTGTTGATAGCCAGGCTGGATGGACGCCAGGAGACATCCCAAAGGAGCTGCGCTGCCAAGCACTGACACACAAAGAAAGCTGACCTAGTCCTTTTTCATGCTGACTGCCTGCTCAGAAATTACATCAGAGGACAGTATTGAAAGACCTAGTATGGTTTAGAACAATTATGGAGACTTTAGAGAAATCCTCATTCTAAGGAGCCCTTTTAAGGGAGATAGAGAAGCAGTATATTCATTAGCTTTGTGTGAAGCTACTGCTCAGCTCATGTACGGAAATTGCCCCGAGACAGTTCCATGGCTAGCCATTCAGTGTCAGCATCCACTCTGTTCCTATGAAACTACAAATTTTATTTCAAATTTCACTGAATGCTTTCTAGACAACAACAGGGGAAAAACTGTAAGGAGCACATCATTGTAACCAATATTTTTAGGCTTGGAAATATTTTTGAAATTCTGAGCTGAAGTCAGAGGGAGAAGGGGACATGGTGTGACTGCTGGGAAGGTATGAGGGGGAGAAAGGGGAGGAGGGGAGAGTGAAAGGAGGATGGGAAATAGTAATCTCAAGTGCAGAATAATGCATAGATTTTCTTCGACTAAACAGAATCATAAAATACCAGGACTGAAAGAGCTTTAGAGACAATATCCCTATTTCTCACACTCATCTTACTGATGAGGAAACTTGGGCCAGAAAAGTTCAGTGACCTGTCCAAAAAGGCAGAGCCAGCTTGGTGACAGAGCCAAGCTGAATGCCAGGTGTGCTTACTCTTCTCCTGATATCTCTGGCCTCTGACCACATTTGCACATGATTCCCACCTTGCACAGCTGTGGTCTCTCATCTACACTTCAAAAGGTTCTGGACAAAGGGAACCATCAGCAGCGGGTGGGACTGTGATTCAGTGCAATAATTGCCTTCTCTTGCATCTTCACATCCTAAAGTCAATAAATCAGTTCTGTCTTCCAATCAGCCCTTACATTTTAATCTTTCATTTGGAAAATATGACACTTAAATGTAAAAGAAGGGGAAAAAACCCAAAGAATTTTTTTATCAAGCAATTCACATTCTGTGATCTTTTGTGTTGGTATGGGTGGCTGACTAGGTAGTAGCAGCTGCTGTAGTCTCCTATTCCTTTCCCATAATGATAATTTATTTTCTCCATAGCAGTCTGAGTCCCAAGGATTTTACCAGGTTGCTTCCGGGGACTACTTGGACTCAAGTTTAGGCTCTTCCAGATAAAGAGGCTGAAGCCATTTAGTTTGTAGCATATTGGGGGAGGGGCATACATGGTAATTGGTATACTATAAAATATAATAATAGTGTGTGTCCAGAGCTCTGCCTTGGGTCTTTAATTATCTTCTCACCTTTATTATTGTCTTGTACTTTACTAGACATGCTGTCGCCTCAGCTACCAACAGGCCAATTTATGTTTGTTTCTTTGAGGTATATACAATCAAACATAGAAAACTACACAAATGGAGACTCTTTAGTGTGGATTCTTAGCAGACAATGGGTACTTGGCACCCAGAATACTCTAGGCACCTGAATTCTATCTTGCCACTTAATGCGCATCCCTTGTTTCCTTAGGAAGTGAGGGAGATAATCCTCTCGATTTTCTCACTGGGCCCCAGGACCCAGGTGATGGAACAGATGAAAGCAATGATAAGATCTTCCTCAAAACTTGGGAAGTAAAATTGTCCTGATAAACATTTAGAAATAACTATCGTCTGTACAAACACACCCAAACACAAGAGTTTCAGATTTTTAAAAAAGATTTTATATATTTTTATTTATTCTTAGAGAGAAGGGAAGGGAGAGAGAAAGAGAGGGAGGGAACCATTGATGTGTCAGAGAAACATTGATCAGTTGCCTCTCACATGCACCCTGACCAGGTCACAACCCAGGCATGTGCCCTGACTGGGGCTCAAACCAGCAACCCTTCATTTTGTGAAATAACACCCAATCAACTGAGCAACATCAGTCAGTGCCAGCTTCTTCTTTTTTTTTTAAATTTTCACTTATTAATTTTTAGAGAGAGAGAGGAAGGGAGAGAGAAAGACAGAGAAACATCAATTTGTTGTTCCACTTACTTATGCATTCATTGTTGGTTCTTGTATGTGCCAGGATCAAACCACCAACCTTGGTGTATCTGGATGACGCTCTGACCAACTGGGCTACCTGGCCAGGAATCAGAGATTCTTTTAGACATCTAAAAGAGATGCTTATGCAACCTACTAAGTCAGCCAAAAATAAGTTTTAGGCGTCTACCCAATGTTCAATGATATGCTAAGTAAAATTAAGCAATTTGTTTAATGTCACATAGCTAACAAGTTGAAGACCTGGGATTTGAGCATAGTTTGATTCCAGAATTTAGGATCTTAAAGAATATAATTCATGGTTCCCACCCTCAATAAATTTATAATCTAGTTGGGGAAACATGACTAACACACATTAAAACAGCTGTAAACTATGTTAGATGAGCATATATAATTAAGTGCTAAATTGGATGCTATCAACTATGAATGTTTCCGGAGTTCAGAGGCACAGGGAAGCATAGACCTGGCAGGCAGGATTTCATGTAGCTGGGTTTTGAATGGTCCCTGAGATGTGCATAGGGAAAGGACTGCTCTAGGCAGGGGGGTCAAAAAAGTGCTAGAAGCAGGAGTGAGCAAGACCTATGCAAGAGGATGAAGCGGCCAGCCTGGCCACAGCTGGGTGGAGCTGATGGGAAGGGCTGGACCAGCTCTGAGAACCTTTGAAGCAAAGCAGAGTTTAGGCTTGGTGCATTAGCAAGGAGTCATTAAACACCTTGGATCAATAAAGCAATATTAGGAAAGGGATGTGTTTGGCAGGATAGAGAGGATTCATCCATCTTACTAAAATTTTAGATGACATAAAGCTTGGAAAAACATACTGTGAAATTATTCTAAATTGTTACCAATTCTTGTTCCCAAGTTACTGTTTATTCAGTTTGATCTTTAAGATTTATTTTTTAATCTTTAAAAAAATATTTATTTATTTTCAGAGAGAGAGGGGGAGGGAGAGAGAAAGAGAGGGAGAGAAATATTGATGTGTGAGAGAAATATCAGTTGGTTGCCCCTCGCGCGCCCCCAACCCAGGGACTTGGCCTAAAACCCAGGCATTCATCCCAGCTGGGAATCAAATTGGTGCCCTTCGCTGAGCCATGCCAGGCAGGGCTTTATGATTTATTTTTACATTTATTTCACATTAGCAAATTCTACCAATTTTGTCTCCTTAATACTTTTTAAATTTACCTCTTTCTGTATACTTCCCTTACCGTTACAGTACTTTAGTTTGGCCACCATCCTAAGGTTGAGGGTGGTGTCAGAGAAACTTTCCCAGAAAGGCTAACATTTTCCCAGAGTCCCAATACTTAGCAAGAGTCAGCCAAATTGGAAGGGGGGAGGGAGGAAGAAGGATGGGAGTGAGGGACTGGGAAAAAGAGGCAGTAAGAAAGTTAAAAACAAGCTTAATGGGCAGAAGAAAGTAAAAAGCAAGCAAACAAAATAACAGATACAGAATTTGGTGCTAGACTGGGGTGCCGAAATAAGAAAAATTAAATGTGGCATTCATTTACTGAAAGGAGTCACTAATGGGTGGTAAGGGCCCAAAGATTTCAAGCTGGAAGGCTGATTATCCTTTTTACATGATAGCAAAAC